TCTTCAAATGCAATATGTTCTCCATTGCCAACTTCAACTATTGAAGCTATAGAAGTATCTATTTTATTAAAGAGATTTAGATTGCATGTCATATGGTTTGTACAACCATTATTGATGAACCATTTCTCGCTCGAAAGACATGTTGAGAAAAAAAAGGAAACAAAGAGTTACTCTTTTTCTTAATCGATTGTTTGGGTGACATTCATGTATATCACTCTTGCAGGTTCTCTGATGATGATCTTTTTATTGTACTTTTCAGAATTTTGGTCTTGCCGTTTCTAGCCTTGAAAGGTAATGTTTCTTTCTTTCACAATGTTCTTCCAGCACAATGTTTGCAAGGGGAGAAATCAAACTATTAGTCTCGTTGTTTCAAACACTTGAAAAATAGATGTCTCTTCCTTCCACAATGTTTGCAAGGGAAATAAATCAGGTTTTTTTTTTTTTTTTTTCCCTTTGTATTGTAAGAATCAAAACTTGAGTTTCTCTTCTTAGATTGAGTGGACTAATATTTTGCGGCTAACGCCCCATTCTACAGATTTTTCAGATATCATAATCATTCTTTACTTTTGTGATTGCAGAGTTTGCCTCAATTCTGTCAAGCTCATTCTATACATATTTTTAGTATTTCCAAGTGAATATATAGGGCTTCAAATCTTTTGAGAATAGTTACAATTTTTCTTGAACTATACAAGAATATGAAAATTGAGAGCCAAGAAATCTTACTTTATTTGCAATTCCAAACAACCTATCATAGTTCATAGAGATGTAAACAAACAAATAATTTTATGAGCTCAGCTCGGTTCGATTCGATTCTTTTGAACTCGTTAAAAGCTCATTCGCTTAGCTAAACGAGTCGAATACTAATATAAATTTTGACTTATTATATTCATGAACGAGCTCGAGTTTGTTTGCGAATGTTCGACAACATTTGTTAAAAAAGTAAATTAATATTTTTATATTTAATAAGTATATACATTATAGTTATTTCCATTTTTTTTTATATAAATTGATTAATAAAAAATTATAATTAGTATTAATTGAATTTAAATATAAATAAATATAAATAATTAAATTAGAAATTCCTCTTAAAAAAATTGCTAAATGAGTCAAGGTTAAACAAAAATTTTAGTTCATATTTCTTAACAAACAAATACAAACTGAGCTCGAGTCCTTGATAAATCGAGCTTAAACACAAAAAGCTCGACTCAGTATGACTTGTTTACAGCTCTAGCCTATCAGAGTACTCCTTCGTAGTTTCAAAGTCCTTTATTCTCTAAATTTTGAACTCTCTAAGAAGGTATATAACTTTCATCCATTTGACCTTTCATTTCATTCATACTTTTGTTTTAGGAATTCAAATGCTTATTTCAATGTCATGATTTTGACAAAAATTTCTTGTGAAAAAGCAAAAAAAAAAAAAAAAAAATGTTGCATTTTGTCTTTGACTTTCTTGTTTTATTTTGGGTGTAATTCATGTTCTGCGCTTTTGTTTTTCACTTTCAATTAACCTATTTTCGAATCATGAAATAATCTGTCGACTTTTTATTTGAACCAATAGTTTGTTTTTGTGTGTGTCTAATATATATGTATATATATATAATAATTTATTCATCGGTTCACTTCCATTAATTCACCCTGATAATATAGTGGGATGATGAAAAAAAAACACATATATAGAAAAATGAATATTTTAGATAAAACATATTTTTTATATAATAAATTTATGATTAAAAATATTATGTATTATTATAAATTTAAAATAATATAATGAAGAGTAAAACAATAAATAAACTTGAACTGGGAGGGGAGGGCAAATCCACCTTATTAGATTTAAAATTATCATGTTTTATACTAAGATTTCTATATATATATATATATATTGCCTGTGATGGAGCAGTACAACGAGCTCCTTCGCATCCTAGGTCGATTCATGCAGCATGACTTGAAGATGGATGATGAATTTATTGCCGTTTCATGCATCATCGAAATATTGTTGCATGCATGCAAAGAATTTAGGTGCATCATCGAAATATTGTTGCATGCATGCAAAGAATTTAGGTGAACACTTAAATATAAGAAGGAAGAGTTGACACTTGTAGAACTCAGTAACCATTTGCGGATAGAGGAATCTATAAAAGTGCAGGAAGATAGTAAAAACGATGATATTACTGGAACTTTGGTAAATATGGTTGAGGAACGGAAGAAGGACAAGTGCTCAGACGAAAGCCATAGTAAGCAACGCAAATTCAATGATTCTAAAAAATGTGTTACCAAGAAAGACAAAATGTCTTGTTGGATTTGTGGTAAATCTGGGCATCTTAAATGCGATTGTCATGTTGGAAAAGAAAATCGAGGAGCTAGCACTAGCAACAGAGGAAATGAACTAGATGATTCTTCCCAAAACTTTGGATGATATATTTAATTGGTAGATAGATTTCAGCGCCACATCACATATATGTAAGGATCGTTGTTGGTTCAAAGATGATCATCCGGTGAACGATAGAACCGTGTTGTACATGGGGAACCATCACTATGCTCCAATTATTGGATAAGAAAAAGTAACACTGAAATTTAGTTTTGGGAAAATTATTAATTTGTAAAATTTTTATATGTACCTAAGTTATGTAAAACTTAGTGTAGGGTCCGTCTTAAATAAGCCCGACTATAAACAAGTATTTGGCAAAATTGCCCATAACTCCCTTGTGGTTTCGAAACTCAGCGTAAATTCCCCTCTACTTTAAAAATTGCATGGTACCCCCTTATACTTTAAAAAACGTTGCATGAAACCCCACCACCATGAAACTTTCCTCATGTGATAAGAAGATGATTTCCTATCTGTATGTTTTGCATGGCAAGGGATTTTATGCAATATTTTTGAAAGTATAAGTGAGCGTTGTGCAATTTTTTAAAGTAAAATGAGGATTTATGCTGAGTTTCGAAACCACAAAGTGGTTTCATGCAATATTTTTTTAAAGTATAAGAGGGTACCATGCAATTTTTAAAGTAGAGGGGGAATTTACGCTGAGTTTCGAAACTACAAGGGAGTTATGGACAATTTTGCCCAAGTATTTAAATCAGACAAGTACATGTTATCAAAACATGGTGTATTCGTAGAATTTGTTTATTACAATCATGGTAAGTTTATGTTAAATTTGGTTAATATACTTTGTGATTCTAATGCTATTTGCATGGTTTCCAAATCAAAGGACGATCCATTCCTATGACATGCTAGACTTGGACATGAGCATTTCGAAAAGAATGATAAATATGTCTAAGGTGATTTAATTTCTGCATTGATGTTGTGACAAATAGGTTGCAAACATGCGTTTTAATGAAGATCACAAAGAAGCCATTTAAAGGGATCACTAAAAACTCAAAAATTCTTGAGTTGATCCATAGTCATCTTTGCGATTTTTATTCAATGTCATTGTTGGGAAATAAAAATATGTCATGACTTATATAGATAATGCAAAAAGGTATTGTTATGTGTATTAGTTGCATGCAAAATCTAAAGCTTTGGAAAATTCAAGTACTTAAAATCGACTATAAATTATGGTTTGGCATATTTTGGATTTTCTTCTATTTTGGAAGGATACTCAGATGTGAGTTGGATAAGCCATACGAAAGATAATTCTTCCACACTAGATAGACGTTTTTGCTTGGGGGAGGTGCGATTTACAGGGCTTCCAAGATGCAAATATGCATTACAAGTTCTACAATGGAATTTGAATGTGTAGCAGTAGCTGCGTCTGAAAAAGAAACCGAATGGCTTCATAACTTGGTATATGAGATTCCATTATGGCCGAAATCGGTGCCATCAATCTCTATCGTTGTGATAGTGCTTTAACGATGTCTAAAGCTTATAGTAAAATCTATAATGGTAAGTCTCGAAACATAGGTGTGAGACATAGCGTGATTTGTGATTTAATCATGAATGAGGTGATATCGGTTGAGTTTATTCGGTCGGAACGTAATTTAGCTGCTTGTTTGACAACAGGGTTGGCGAGAGATTTAGTGCACAAGTCGCTGATCGGGATGAGATTGACGTCCATTTAAATCTTCCTAGTACGAGACATCCAACTCCCTTTTAGTATGATGCTAGAAGCTGAATTTATTGTGGAATGGTCATATTTGGGAGATTGGAACGCATTTTATTCAAACATCCTGTGTATGCGTTCAAACCTGCATGAACTAAAGGTTGAGATGATATCTCTTAATAACTCCTTTGAAAAATTGCTTATGCAGGAAAAAGACTAAAGGAGCTATACGAGCATAAAGTTTTGCCGCTTCAAGAAAGTTGGGACTTGCTTTCGATGTTCTCGCGAATGGATATAGATACATGACTTGTAATGTGTCAACTTAGAACCAATGGAATTTTAAATGAAAGATTACTAATTACATAGACGGAGTTGGTCTCGTTTTCATATATATGAAATAAGAAAAACATATAATGTGTTTTACTCATGAAAGAAATTATAGTTTCCATATACATATTTATTCTCAATGTTCATCTTGTTGTTTTTTTACTAAAATTCGAATCAAATTTTGTATTATCTAAGTACGAATTTTGTGTAATCCTTAGTAGAAATTAGTCAAAATATCGTACTCGAAAAATGTGTTTATAATGACATAGAGTTATATCCGATCATTTTTATTGTTAACCCAAAAATATTCCCAATAGACATGTTTATAACATGTACTATTATGATAAATAATATTATTCTATACAAATTAATCCTAAATTTATTTTATATTATTATAGTCTAAAATAAAGTAAAATTGGGCATAGTAATATAATTAAATATTATTAATATATTCTTGGGAGATTAAATAATATTAAGATAGTACTAACATTAAAAAATTATTTTGTATTTTATTAACAGGTAACTTAGTATTAATTTTTTACTGTATAATCAAAGATATTATAGGAAAAACAAATAATGTTATTGACAAAGTTGGCCTGTTAATCATTGAGATTGCAAAAGAGCTAATTTTTATACATGGAAATTTCTAACAAGTGAAAGATGAATAAATTATGAACTAAGTCCCGATACATTCTCTATTTTAAATATTTCAATAAGACCTACCATCATATCTACCATACATATATGCAAGTTTTATTAATAATAATAATAATTTTACAGTCTAAGAAATGAATAGATTGATGATATATAGTAAGAAATTAATAATATTGATTTGGTATTGACTAAATAAATATTAGTTTCTGTATTTGTTGTATTGAAAATTGTAGTTACAAAATTTTAAACTGTACAAGGATAATTAAGGTAAGAAATAATATATAAAAATAATAGTAAGGTAACTCTTATTATTATTATTATTATTATTATTAATAATTGAATTAATATGAAAAGAAACGATGAAGAAGGAGGAGAGAGGGAGGGCCGCGTGTAGAGCTAGGGTTAATTTTGAATTGCAGAGAAGAGTCACCCCTCACTCACTCTCCATTCTCAACTCGCTCACACACACATACATATAATCCATATATATATAAATATATTGATGATGATGATGATGATGCTACTACAATAGGAGCAGCGCGCAGTGGCAGTAGCAGCCCCCAGCCACCATTTCTTCATATATCTTTATTGTCTTTGTCAGGGAAGGGAAGGGGAAGGAGTACATACATATATATATATATATATACTCCAATTCCAATTCCAATCCACCAATCCAAAATCCATCGTCGTCGACATTAATTGTTAGGAAGGACTACGTACGGTACGTCACATTCACACAGCACTGTGCCTGCATTGCATCTGTATCTGTATTAGCATCTGGTTGTGGTGATATATATATATATACAGTTGTACTATATTGCAGGGGTTGTAATGTACTGGTATTTGAATTGAATTGAATTGAATTGAATGTTTGTTTTCTTTCTTTCTTTCCATATTGCTTTCATGGATAAACATTATTATAGTGCTGCTGCTGCTGCTGCTGCTGCACTCTCGCTTCCTTCTTCTTTTCTTTCTGCTCAACAGCAGTCGTCGAATGTATATATGGTTGTGGTAGTGTAAGTTGCAGTCGATCGTCAGTCAAACTAAGAGAATATACATATATATATATATATATAGGTATATTTATACATTATGGGTGAAGTAGTAGAAGAAGCAGAAGGAGGCAATAACAATAAATCATGGACGACAAGATTCAAAAGGGTTTGCGTTTTCTGTGGAAGTAGCGCTGGGAAGAAGGACTGCTACACCCAAGCAGCAATCGACCTAGGCCGCCACTTGGTATTTCTTTTCTTTCTCATTATATTCTATGGTAGGAGTATTATTCTATGTTCTGCAGATCAAACTAATTAATAACTACATATACACTATTATGATCGATGAGGCTGCCAAAAAGTTGGATCTTGTGTATGGTGGTGGAAGCATTGGACTCATGGGCTTGGTGGCGCAGTCTGTGCGCGATGCCGGCGGAAATGTTCTTGGGTATTCACATTCATATTCATCTATTTCTCCATCTATTCATTCATCATCATCATCATCTTTATAGATATCTCCACTGTCACTGCAGGATCATACCGAAACCATTGCTGGGCAAGGAGGTTAGAGCTCCCTCTCTCTCTCTCTCTCTCTATATGTTTATATCCAGACTAACTAATGAGTTATAATGTGTTGATTTGCTGGTTATCTCTCTCTCTCTCTCTATATATATATATATTGCAGAAAACGGGGGAGACAATTGGGGAGCTGAGGATCGTGGGCGATATGCACCAGAGGAAGGCTGAAATGTCTCGTAACAGTGATTGCTATATAGCTTTACCAGGTGGGTACGGAACTCTGGAGGAGCTGTTGGAGGTGATCACATGGGCTCAGCTCGGAATTCATACAAAGCCGGTATGCTATGTATAATTGAATCATCGTATTGCAGATTAGATTAAGTATTATTTGATGTTTGAATTGTAAAATATAATTGTAATATTCTCGATCGATCGATGGTTAATCATCAGGTGGGATTACTGAATGTGGGAGGGTTCTTCGACGGGCTGTTGAGGTTCGTGGAGGGAGCAGTGGAGGAAGGCTTCATAACCCCAATCGAGCGTCACATCTTCGTCTCCGCTCCAAATGCCGCCGACCTCCTTCTCAAACTCCACGTATTTAATACTTCCTCAATCTATTTTCTAATATTCTAATTGATATTTACACGAAGCTATTAAATTTTTTATTATAAAATAATAAATTTATCTTTATTTTAAGTATAAAAAATAAAAGAGTAAAGAAAATAAAGATATTAAAGTAAATTTTTTTTTATAATTGCTGAATATTCCAAATAGCAAAATAGGACCTTTGTTTGTAAACGGAGGGAATAATATATAGACATATATTATTTATATCTAGCTATTAATTAAGTAAATTTGATATATATATATATATATATATGTAGGAATATGCACCTGTGGTGGCTTCAAAGTTAAAATGGGATGATGCTGCAGCTGAAGTACTAGTAGTACCAATTGAGCATATTCCGGCAGCACCACCAATTGAGCATATTCCGGCAGCACCACCAATTGAGCATATTCCGGCAGCACCACCAACATCAAGTAATCCTCAAGACGACGACAGTGATGCTTCTGCCAACCCAAACAATTCATAAGTGCTACTGCTACTTCAACAATATATGTTCTTGAGAAGAATCATACTCATACTCATACACATACCAAACTCAGGCCTTACACCCAACATTACATTACTGCTCCTGCATACAATTTGGTTATATCCAGTGACAGACAGAATTAGCTTCCGGACTCCGCGGGAGGGCAAAATTATTATGTTATTTTTATTTTTTATTATTCGATTTCAATTTTATATTTTGAACCGTCGTTTTATTTGAATCCATAATTTTGCTTATTTATGTGTAAAAAAATAAATTATAAGAACCTACTCATCAGTTCACTATAATCAATTCAACATCACTTTCAACTTTTTTTTATTTTTTTTTTGATAGTAAAATTATGAAAAAATAATAATAATAATAATAATTGAAAAGAAGAAAAAATAGAAAAAATAATATATATGGTAAAATTGTAATAACATTTAGAATAAAACATTATATTTTTTATATAAAATATTTATAATTAAAATATTATAAATTTAAATAACGAATTTAGATATAAAATAAAATAAAAATTTTGAATTAGGGGCCAAAATTACATAATTAGATTAAAAATAATTATTTTACTTAAAAAAAATAAAATTAGATTAAAAATAATTATTTTACCTAAAAAAATAAGTTTGGGGGGAGGGGACAGTTGCCCCAGGACCCTTATAAATGGGTCGTCCCTGGTTATATCATATATGCTTCTCTACATAACACTACTGTTTTAATTAATATTAGAATATTTTCTCAGTCTCATATTTATTTATTTATTTATTTTTTGAGTTTTAGAAATATTGGTATTATATTGTGATGTAATAGAAATATAGGTAAAAAAACTAAACTTTATTAGTATGGTATGATATAAAAAACTAAAAGTAATAACATTTGTGTAGAAGAGTATTTATAATGTTAAGTATATAGTACCGTTACTTAAAAAAAAAATTGATACTTTGTTACTGACGAACCAAAATAAAAAAGTGAATAAATTGTCGGATTAGAGTTGATGACTGAATAACAATGGATTTACGTGGTTACTAAAATCGAGTTGGCTATCCCACATGTAGAAACAGAGAACATATTTTATTGCAGGATTTGAGCCGCTTTGGTCTGGCCGTACGACTTGATGAAGTATATAATATATATTGATCAATTATAATATTTGCATTTTGCAAATTAAAGTAGTGCTATAAATTATGACAATAGACTGATTCAACACTTTCTTTCTAATTGGACTTGATTAGGTAGGCCGGGTCGGGTCTGTCTATCATTTTTTGGTTTTGGGGGCCAAGAAAATTCAATCACTTCACTTCATTTTAGTCAATCAAGTTGACTGAGTCGGACTAGCTAGTTACATTGATGTTGATCAATTGGTCTACTTGGGATCAATGATCCACTTTATGTTTTTGGTTTGGCAAGTAAGCAGTAGAAACTAAGGGTGTTTTTGTTCGGGGGTTTGGATTTTGAGTTGGGATTTGAATAGTAAAATTTTTGAATTTGAATAGTTGCATGATGTAATATAAATAGGGGTTGATGTAATGTTTTAAATGTAAAATTGATTTTTAGTATAATATAAAAAAAAAAAATAGACGTTTAATTTGATATTTTTTGGGAAAAAAATTGGGATGAATAGTGTAAATTCAATCCAATCCCCAGACAAACACACAACACAAAACAAATGAAATGCCATTGTAGATAGATAATACTAGTAGGTAATATACAGACAGGCAGACATACGTACAAACATAAAAACAGGCAAATTCTTGCATTACACACATTTAGAATTATTATTATTATAATTAATTAGGTAGCTAGCACATTGGGAGGTGGGTGAAGTTGTTGTCGAAGCTGCAGGAGGGTGGGCTGAGTATTTGTGTCCAGAAAGAGTCGGCTATACAATACTCTACTGCATTATTATTGTTATTCATCATCTGCTTATTGGGCACATCCGTCGTCAAATTCTGTTTCCCACCACCACCACCACCACCAGCAGCAGCTGCCGGAAGCATGCATATCCGCCTCTCATCATCACCAGCTGCCGCGGCGGCCTCACAATTATTAATTTTATTATTATATAGTAATTGGTAGTCGTCGTCGTCGTCATCGTCGAACAACTGATTTGTGATTGTGAGCATGGCCGTGTCGGTGCCTAATTGGCTTTCTAAATAATCTTCTTCTGTCTTCAATAACCCCATCACCTGCAGCTGCATGTTGATGTTACTGTTGTTGCTGTTGATGATATGAGGAGGAGGAGGAGGGGTTTGATGGATGTTGTTGTTGGTGACGACGATGGTATTAGTGGACGGAGATGGAGCGTATGAGGATGATGACGTCGTCCTGAGCTGATGCTGGCTGCCACTGCTGATCATGTCGTCGTCGTCTTCTTCGTCTAATTCCATATTTACAGATGCAGCAGCCCTCTGCTCCAGCACTTTGAGGGGGGTTGCCTTCATGTATATTTTACACAGAACTATGTCCTCATGACCCTGATGATCTGGCGTTGGGGATGGGGGCAGGCGGTACTCATTCATGACCCAATTAGTCTTGCTTCCGTGGGGCGCCCGTCCATGGTAGAACACCAGTGTCTTCTTCAGCCCCAGGATCTTCTGCCCCTTCTTGCCTGAAGAAGACGAAGAAGAAGGGGGGCTGAGTATCTTGCGGTCGGACCCGGTCGCCTTCCAGAACCCGGTTTGGGTAGTCCGGTTGGGCCGCCCTCCGCTGCCATGTTTCCTGTCCCGAGGCACGAAGAAGTACCATTCTCTTTCCCCAATTTTGGCCAGCCCTGCGCACCCCCAATTCAGATCTATTCAATTCTGATGAATGATGAATGATGATGATTGTATTGATTATTACCTGGGAGGTCCCTGGGATCATAGTTGTAGATGTTGAGAAAGCCGATGATGCGGCAGCAGCGGACGAGTTTCTTGGGCCCGGCCACCATAGTCTTGAGGTAGAAGCTCAGCAGCTCTTCTTCTGTCGGGTGAAATCTGAACCCTGGCAGCTCCACTTGGTATCTGCTACTGCTACTGCTACTGCTGCTTCTTGATGACGACGAAAATGATGATAGTAATCCTGTTGTTGATGACGATTCTACTTCCACTTGGCTGCTATCCATCTTCCTTTCTCTCTTTATTAAATTACCAACCAAATTCTGCAACTGCCAACGCCAATATGAATATGAATATGCAAAGCTAAGCTACCATATATATGTATTGCTTATTGCAAGGAGATGGGTATATATATATATATATATATAGACATACACACACCTCACAAGTCCATGTCAACAAATTTTTGTGGAACGAGAGAGAGGCGGTGAGTCAAGTCTCCCGAAGAATTGAATAATCAAAGAAAATAATTATTGAATTATATCTAAATATAATATAAGAAAATAATTCTTAAATGAAATATTAACGGAAGCAAATATGATAATTAACAAATTTTCAACTATTGCTAAAATTCAAATCTATTCTTGAGATCTTCTTTTTCAAGCTGAGGTTGAAACATCGGGAAGGTGTTATTGCCAAACCCTGTAACTCTTAGGAAAATGTTGCCAACACCCTAGGATGACATTGTCAAACCTGCTCTCAAATAGTCATGGTGTATTCTAATTTTCTGATAGTAGGTTTAGTATCGTATATGAGAGTATTTATAATTAAAAAGAAAAACCGTCTATCAAAATTTTTTTTGTCACTTTTCAACTATATTTTAAATGTGATGGATGTGCCACAATTTAATTTAAAGTTAGGTTAATTATATAAGATAATTAAAAAATAATTAAAATTTAAACATAATTAATTAATTAAATTAACAATATATCAAATAATTTTGTTATGTTCAGTATTGGATTTAAACTTTTGATATATGAATAGAATTTGAACATAAATATATAATTGGATTAAAATATAAACTAAATATTAATGTATCAAATTTTTAATACTTCCTCCCGTCGTGGTCATTTACTTTTACCAAATATATTTTTTAATATTAGTACCCACATTGGGTGTGTTGATTACTGTAATAAGAAAATTTAGAATAAATATAATCAGTAGATACTTAAGAATATTAATGAAAATAATTAATCTATAATATAAATCATTATAGATTAAGATTAAAATGACTAACTATTACACTAATTTTTTAAATTAAAATTAAAAAAATTAAAATTAAAAAATTTAAAATGAGATTAAGATGCTTAATTATTTTCCAAAAAAGGAAAACGACATGAAATGTGGGACGGACAGGAACGGCAACATATACATGGTATATGGGACGGAGGGAATAATAGATTATACTAAAAAAAATTAAAATATCTCTATTAGTATTATATAATATAATAATAATAGCTTGTAATACTAAATAAGGAAATAGTAACTTTGTTTTTTCAACGAACAAAAATAAAAAATAACATAAAGATAGTATTCCATTTGATATCCATAAAATAGTATAAAATACAGTATATATATTCCAAATTATTAAATAAATCAAACTGTTACGTACGAAATTTAGAATTAGGTTAAAAGCCCAAGGTAAAAAGAATAGTGGGCCTGACAATAGAGTTGATTGAACTGACTGAAGGGCACCATGAGGAAATCAAGGAAAAATAGGTTTATTACTAAGGAAAGCCCTCAGGTCGGAAGGACCTCAGGTCGGTAGGTCCTCAAGACGGAAAGTCAGCAGGACGGAAGGACCTCAGGTCGGTAGGTCCTCAAGACGGAAGGACCTCAAGTCGGAAGGTCTTCAGGTCGGGAGGTCCTCAAGACGGAAAGTCATCAAGACGGAAGGACCTCAAGTCGGAAGGTTTTTCAGGTCGGGAAGTCCTCAAGGCGGGAAGACCTCAAGTCGGAAGGTTTTCAGGTCGGGAGGTCCTCAAGACGGAAAGACCTCAAGTCGGAAGGTTTTCAGGTCGGGAAGTCCTCAAGGCGGAAAGACCTCAAGTCGGAAGGTTTTCAGGTCGGGAGGTCCTCAAGACGGAAAGACCTCAAGGCGGAAGGTTTTCAGGTCGGAAGTCCTCAAGGCGGAAAGACCTCAAGTCGGAAGGTTTTTAGGTCGGGAGGTGTCCTCAAGACGGAAAGATCTCAAGTCGGAAGGATTGGCAGTCGGACCCATACTATTGTAGATTGGCAGTCGGGCCAAAAGAGCGGAAGGTTTGTGGTCGGACTCAAAGAGTGAAATATAGGGATAATTTTGGTCTGCTGGGGACGCGTGTCAGCATGAGAAGGGTTGGAAGACGGTTAGGAAGGAGACGTTGTAACCGTTCGGGTGACGGTTTTCGGTACGGTTTCCTAGAGAATATTTAAAGGCTTGGATAATCATTTGGCAAGGCATCTTCAATCAACTTCAACAAAGCAAAGTCAGATTTGGGGATCACCACTTTAAATTTCAGTCTTTTATTTTCCAGTTTATTTTCTGTACCATACAGTGTTTAGAGATTCCTAATCTCAGGCACTAATTAATCAAGTTTAAGGATATTTTCTATATCTTTGAATTTTACTTTATTTTTGTTGAAAAATTACATCAACACAAACTAAATTATTTATCATACTCTTTCATTTCAACTCAAAAATATATTTTTTATTATTTTTATTTGTAGCGTATAAAAATATTTATTTATATTATAATAAAAGTAATTTATGCTTCAAAGAATTCTTTTAATTTTTACTTAAATTACAAAGATATTATTTTTAATATTATAAAACTTAAATGACTTCTTTGGATTGAAACTTGGAGAATATCAATTTTTAAAATTTTATATAAATAAATATATGATATTATTATACTAATTACAAATATAAAATAATAGAAGTATTTAATTTTTTTATAGTAATAGTCATGTATTTTTATTTCTATCAAGATATTTTAATATTTTTTAAAAAATAATTAACTATAATTTTTCAAATGGAATAGATTCAAATCAAATTGAATATGGCATATTAAAATTTGAATAAAATATTTAAATAATATTGTTAAAATTATATTTAAAATTTTAAAAAATATATATACAATAACTTTAAAATAATTTGAAATCGAATACAAATATTTTTTAATATTCAAAACAAATCGAATAACAAATAATTTCACAAATATCAAATTAAATACCACCTCGATAACAGCAAGAGGCAGGGGAGTAACAATGAAATGACTCTGATCAATTAATTTATTTCATTCATTTAATTGCATGAGTGTGTGCTAAAAAGAAAACAAGAAAAAAAAAATAATAATAATAAAAAATTCCATATATATTCCAAGTATATATATATATATATATACACGCTCCCTTCATTCCACCACAATTGACACTATTTTTATTTTTATCTGTCACGTAACAATCGATATCTTTCTATTTTTGATAAAAATTATTAAATTAAAACATATTTAACAAATATAAATCAACTTAATTAACTACATAACATACAACATAATAATAATAAATAACGTAGGACTCGCTCAAAACCCCTTTATTTCTACTTTTCTCTCTTAAAAAAATAAATATTTTTATCTATATTTAAAACTACACATTTTTTATAAAATTGATTTATGTTAATTATAAACAAACAAATTATTCTTTTTTATTTACTTGTATTATAGAAAAATTTATTCTGATATCCATATTGCATATATTTTTTAATTACTATATAATTTTTAAATATTTAAATATATATTTTAATTTTTTTTTAATCATATATATATTAAATTTACTTTTAAAATATAAATATTATTAATTATATAAAAAATAATATAATAATATCATAACTAATTATTATTAACTAATTAAACAATCTCAACTTAAATATCGTGTTCCTAATTGAATTTCCACTCGCGTATTAATTAATTGGACCTGCAAACAGCTTTATTATACATCAATTTTACTACTTCTTCCATACATTTCTAAAATTTATACTTAATTTTTACATTTAAACTAAAAGATATTAATATTTTAATAACTAATGTGTTAACCTGCGCACAGATTTTATAAATTATTAAATTTAGATCGTATAAATAATTTATTATAAAAAAAAAATATCAAAAAATAAAAATATATTTTGAATTAATTAATCATTACTATAAAATATTATATAAATACGTTCTCTTTTATTTTTTTATTTTTTTTACGAATAAATAATTGATAATTTAAATATATGAAAAAATTCTATTAAATATTGAATGTACTCCCATTACATAATTTATTTCATTCATCGTCGTTGTAAAATATACTATGAAACGTACTTGGAATAGTAATATTGTCATCGTTGACATCAATATTTATCTAAGTAGCTACATATTTTAAATAAAAATTTTTACTTTTCATACGATAAAGGTAATCAAATTGTGTTAAGAAATTTTTATATTTTATATTTATATTTTTATATTAAGTAATCTATTTTTATATAATTATATTTAATTTAAATTTATATTATCATCTAATGTTATTTATCTTAATTATTATTCCATAATTTAGCGTCAATTGAATTTATTAGTTGATTTAGCATAATTTATTTAATGTATATAACATCCAATATCTATTAAGTAATAATTTTTATGTAATTAAATTTATAATATTTTTAATTAAGCAATTATTTTATATATAATTATATTTAACTTAATATTATATTATTATCTACTATTGAAGTCCATTATTATACCATAATTATATTTTTAAAAAACTTATATAAAAAGAAAATTTGAATAAACTTATTCATATATACATAATTCAAAAAATATAAATAAATTTATATATATAAATGAATTATATATATATATATATACACAAATGATCGCTGAAATATTTTTATAATTCTTCTAACTCAGTGGAAAAATCGATAAATAATAATAAAAATTATAACTTGCACAAATATAAGAACTTAAGATTGTAATTTTTTTAATCGAGATTCTTTCAATACAACTACAATCCCCAAATAATACATTTAAAAATAAATAAATAATATTAATATAAATTGAAGTCTATAAAAATATATATATAAACCATATGTTCATGTTTGAAAGCAATCACAAAATCAAACAAATCTATTAATGATAGTACTATAAATACCATATTCGACAAAAAAAATTATTAGAAATAAAAATAAAAGAGGATGTATATCTTACATAAAATGAAATTTTAGAATATATAATTATTGTTAATAAAAAATTAACATCTTAATATCAATTCAAGGCCACCAAATCTACATAGCAAATATCATCCGTAATA